ACGAGTTATTTTCGGACCGACTTCTCTTCATCTGACTGTTCGGAATGGACACAAAAACGTTACTGGAGTCTTGACACGATATGGAAGTGAGGTCGACTACAAAAATTTCATTTTGAACTTTCATTTGGCTACTTGGAGTGGACACCAGGAGCTCACGGAATTCTCATTGAGGAGGGCAAGAGATGTCAACGTTAGAAATAACCTTGGACAATCGCCACTTCATTTGGGTGCAGGGAATAAATGGAAACACATATGCAATGTCTTAACACAGCATGGAAGTGATGTCAATGCTAGAGATATCTTTGGAAAGGCGCCTCTTCAATTGGCTACCATAACCAGACACGAGGGCCTTGCGGACATCTTGAGCTTTGTTAAACCTACAGACAACGTAAGGCAAACACCCAATTTATCTAGTTTAATTGGACACTTTTTCAGAGACGATTTAGATCCCAGAAGAGATTGTATTTCACTAGAAGACCTGTTGGACGAAGAGTTTTGCCAAGCGTTTAATATTAACAAAACGAATTTCCACCAAACATCGGCTAAACTTCTGCGTATTCACTGGGAGATGCCGGCTTGTCTGGCGCCACTCAATCTGTCCATCACAATTGGAGATGACGTTTCAGGTTCACGTGATCAGAAACTAAAAATGGATAACCTTTCAAATGCCCAGTGTCTTAGCATTTCTCTGGGTGGAGGAGAAAGATGGAAGGCCTACTTTGGTCCTGGTCTTGTTATCAAGTACCAAGGTAGATGTCAGACTGCTTGTGCTGAAATGCATTCCCCACTATCCCCTTGTCAATCATGCATATTATGTTCAACTAAATTAGCCGCAAACGGGAGACCCACAGACAGAGATGGCAATGAAGGGAAAATTAGCCACTCGTTTGATTTTGTGGACAAGGACTCAGGACGCAGCGAATTATTTCTTAAAGAGATCGCTTATGAAGGACATCACCTCCCAAACGCTACGGAGCTTGTTTTCTTGAAAACGCTCATAGTACGCATTGGTCTGCACAGACGGCTGTGCATATGGCGCATTCTCAGATACATACGTAAAGAAATTCGGCAACGGGAACGTTCTGTGCAAAGTACATCTACATTTTGCACGAAGAC